AAAATAACGGTAGAAGTACTTGTAGTGCCAAGTCACATGCAACATATCCCTATACTCGTGGGACAGCCATATATTAATCATCCTAACGTAGTGATGGTAGTTAACGGCGATCTAGTGAAATTGTATAACAAATCAGACGCTGATTTATTCAATTTAGATATTTGTAACAAAGATAGGAAAATTCCTATCTGGGCTAAAGAGGCTACAGTGATACCGCCGAAATTTGTGGGCTATGTGAATGTCACAACCCATGACGAATACAATGGGACCGCTTATGTAGAAGCTACAACGCGTAGTTTCGAGAAAAGCCGTTATCATATTGGACGATGTGTCCTTCAACCACGAAATGGAGTGCTACTGATTGCAAATACTGCAGACTTTGCACTTAATTTGAAAGCTGGTCAAGTTCTAGTTCGAGCTGATGAATGTGTTGCCGAAAAACAAGTAGATGACGATAATGAGGTAAGCGTTTGTAATGTTAAAATGCAATCCAATTATAAACAATTTCAGGAAAATGAATTGAACGTAGATGTACAGGTGCCACGCGAAATTAAATTGAAATTATTGCAACTTGTCAATAAATATAGAAAGACTTTCTCTGAAAATCTTGCGGAATTGGGGACCACCCATTTAACCAAAATGAAAATTCACTTAAACGATGATCGACCCGTTACGTATAGACCTTATAGGCTACCACATAGTCAAAGAGAAAAAGTTAAAACGATGATACAAAGTTTAAAAAATAACGGTATTATACGCGATTCAATGTCACCGTACGCCAGTCCAATTCTTATAGTTCGTAAAAAAACGGGAGATGATAGGTTATGTATAGATTATCGAGCATTAAATGCTAAGACTCTGAAAGATAAATATCCAATGCCAATAATTGAAGATCAGTTAGATAAGCTTAGTGGAAGCAAGGTATTTACCAGTTTAGACATGGCCTCGGGTTATTATCAAATTCCGGTAGCTGAAGAATCAGTCCATATAACAGCTTTCGTTACACCGGATGGACAATATGAGTTCTTAAAAATGCCCTTCGGGTTGGTAAATGCTCCTGCCCTTTTTCAGAGACTAGTTAATAATGTCTTGGGGTCCTTGCTTGGAACGGTGGCACTCGCATACTTAGACGACATACTGATTCCTACATCAGATTACGAAAATGGATTAAAATCATTAGAACAAGTATTAATAGCTTTGCAAAATGCGGGTCTAACCCTTCGTTTAAAGAAATGCTATTTTTTCAAATCATCAATAGATTATTTGGGGCACGAAATTTCCGGGGAGGGTATTAAACCTGGTAAAACAAAGATCTTAGCGGTACAAAATTTTCCATGTCCTAAAAATATATGCGAGGTGCGCCAGTTTCTTGGTCTTATGTAAGCACCCAGACATGCAACGCAGGCGAGGGAACGTCGCCGTAGGGCCAACGAAAACAAATAAACACTCAAAGCCCTTGATAAATTGTGTTGATAGATATGTATAGAGATATATAGGCTTAGGGAAGTTTTTAAGACATCAGATTTAAACTAGCCAGCGAAGTGTACTCGTCAACTAAAATAAAGTCGTTGTAATAATATTGAATATTGCAGTTTTTCTTACACTTACTAGTTATTTCCGCAAATTTATTAAAAACTTCGCCATCATTGCGCGACCACTTACTTTGTTAACACGAAAAGAAACACTATTTACGTGGACAGAGGAACAAACGCGAGCATTTAATGAATTAAAACAAAAATTAACACAACGACCTATCTTAGCATTATATAACCGATATGCTGAAACAGAATTACACACAGATGCTTGTAAGTTTGGGTTAGGCGGAATATTGTTGCAGCGGCAAAGTAATAAGTGCTTTCAGCCGGTGTCATATTTCAGTTGACAAACCTCTAAAGAGGAACAGATTTATCACTCATATGAATTGGAAACATTAGCCATCGTAAATTCTTTACAACGGTTCCGGGTATATTTATTAGGGATCCCGTTTAAGATCGTCACCGACTGCAATGCCCTTCGGGCAACTTTTGTTAAACGTGATTTACTGCCTAGAGTAGGGCGTTGGTGGTTGTTGTTACAAGAATATCAATTTATTGTAGAGTATCGCGCTGGAAGTAAAATGACACATGTCGATGCGTTGAGTCGTAATCCTATAGCATATATAAATGATTTCACAGA